TTCAGCAGCCTTGTAGGATTAGCTTCCCATCTTACACCTCTGCAACTTTTTGTTTCTGGATATTTCTCCTCATTAATTCCTCGAATGCCAGGGCTCCTCTCGAGCCCCCAACTGCAAGGACACCATTACAATGAGCACCTCTGTTTTAATAGCCTTCTTGTTTCTGAATGATACTGCTTTTTCTTCCTATTTTTCTCTCCGGAGGTTGGAAAACTTTCAAGTCAGCAAGCAATGTGACTTGCTAGACGTTTAGCTGAATTCACACAGCTTCCGGTAAGTGCTATTTTAGATTGAACATTCTGAAAGAATTTCTAGCCTTTAAAAAACACATGCCTGGTTTCCCAGAATCGCAAAGCTAAAGTCAATTTTTCCTCCTCCTGAGAACCCAAATTTACAAATAATGATAAATATGTTGTGAACCCTGATGCAAGCCAGTACAGAATCATCAGATAGGGTGGAATTTAACCCTTTCAGAACCATTACCAGTACAATAGTAAGAACCGTACTGCTGTTGAGGGCTGTGTTGCTGGTTGCTCCGCTGAAGGACTGCTAACAGACAGGAACATTGATTGCAATGTGTTTGTATTAAAGGTTATGGTTTGTTGTCTTGTTATTTTGCTCCAGACTTGCGTATAATAGGAATCGTTGGGTGGGGGGGGGGGGGGGGGGGGGCGGGGGGCGGGGTGGGCGAGTGGGTCAGACATAACTGCACCTGATTTCCATTCTGCAGGATTCTTCCACCATTGAGCATCTATCGTCAGGAAATCATGAAACTCACAGTTCAAGCCAACTGACTGTGCTTCTAAGCTTCCAACACTGAGCACTGCACTCTGTATTCTTTTCAATGAGAGCCTGTTTGACTTATAATGAACATTACAGTGTACTGAAGGGAACACCATAGATATTCCCATACTTCACTGTCTTCAGGATCACAACACTCTGTTTGCTCACAGCTTATCTTCCCTTTATCTCTCCTGTAGGTGACCAAGGTCAGTGTGCTTGTAATGTGGAGGGGGCTGCTCCTGCTGGTCCTCGGGGTCCTGCTGGAACCCCAGGCTATCCAGGCATACATGGAGCGGCTGGTGGGCTGGGGGATGAAGGACCACCAGGGCCGTTTGGAGGACCAGGGATTCCAGTAAGTATTCTGGCTTCAATCTTATCCCTGGGCTGGAACAGCTGTATACCACTCAGGTGCTTAAATGAGATTCTCCTGAATGTCCATCGACTACTTTGTGAATTTGCTAGTGAAACCTTCACTGCGATTCCTAACATTTACCACATGGAACAGGCTAATATGACCTGGGAAAAAGCAACAGAAGTTGTTCTTTATTGCACTTACTCCCCTCCACCACTCACTCCTCCCTGCACCATGCATTCTAGCCTCTGCCTTCTTCCACCCCTTTATTGCCTTTATTGCACTTTGAACTGGGAGCATGCCTGGAATGTTGGAAAAAGGGCAGCCAGTTTGTGCCCAACAGGTTCCCACTGAGACAGTGTTTCTGTGCTGCATTGTGCGGGACACCAGGGAGAACATCCCTACTTCTCTTGGAAATAGAACCCAGGGGATCTTTTATACTGTCATGAGAAGATAAACAAGCTCTTTGTTTAATATCTAATCCAAAATCATCATCTCCTTCAGTACTGACCCTCTGACAGTGCAGCGCTCCCACAGTACTGACTCTCTGACAGTGCAGCACTGCCTCAGTACTGACCCTCTGACAGTGCAGCGCTCCCTCAGTACTGACC